TATATTTCTATAGTTAAAATTTGTGCAATTCTTATTTTCATTCAATTCCATGTTCCTATTGTGCAATTTAATTATATTCATATCAATAAATATTCTACCGTTGTCACGTAAAATCTTCGCCCGTAAAACCGACTTTACAGGCAACCATTGTTTTTATCTTTATTATCTTATTAACTTGTGAATGTATGGGTGAATTAAATCCTGCAATTTTTACTTTTGTATGTTCTTGAGCTATATTTAATTTGTCTGCAAGTGTCTTAGTTATTAATGATTTTTGAGCACCCGAATCAATCAGGGCTCGGCATATTAGCTCATCATTATTTGAGTTTAAAACTTTTATTAAGGCTGTAGGGGGTCGGTGGAAGGCTGGTTAAACCATTTGGTTTCGACCACTACGACCCGGGTTCGATTCTCGCATTGGACACTTTTTATGTTTAAAAAAAAAATGCTCCAATGGCCCCCCGATTCTTGCAAAAGTCCAACCCCACCAGCGAGTGCAAGTAACCAAACGGGGCTCTGGCACATTTGTAAGTGCAAAGTCGAACTGCTTTCACATGTGTAGACATGTGGTGCGCTTACAGTAAAAAGCAGTCGCTAACTACCCACCATGATTATCATGGCCTGTACCACGTGTACTAGGGAATCTCCGAGATAAGATGAAAGATTAAGGCTGTAGATAGATAGATATTTGTTTCTAAGATTGAAGTATTGTTAGATAGAACTGTGCGGTTTACTGTCTGATGCTGGTTTTGTTCTTCACTTGTATTAGCTTGATGTTCGGTAGTTGAAATAGGACCTTGCCGTCTTTGATTATTATAATTATGAAGGGTAGTATGATGTTTTTTGTTGCAGACTTTACAAGTGGCAGTTATTTGACAATGATTGGCATAATGATTTACACCTAAGCAGTTTATACAAAGGTTTTTGCTTCTAACAAATTTGATTCTATCATCTAAAGACAACTTAGCAAATTCTTGGCAGGTACCTAACTTATGAGATGAATTACAATAGGTGCATTTGATTATGTTAGTATTTACTTGATAAGTTTTAAAGGTCTTCCTAACATTATCTTCTTTTTGGTATAATTTTCCATTAATGTGATCTAATCCTTTTCTATGCTTTTCTAAAAATGTTAATAAGTCTTGAAGAGTAGGAAATGTATTTTCCTTTAATGAAAGTTCAAAGTCCTTGTTCGTGTTGCTATCAATTTTCTTTAAAATAAAAGTAGTGAGAAGCATGTTTCCTAGTTGTTCTTCATTAATTCCTAACAATTCTAAATTTCTTAAGTTCAACTTAACAGTATCAATTAGTTCAATAATATTCCTTGAGTTGGTCACTTTTATATACTTGATATTCGGTAATTTTGTTACAGTATTTATAGGCTAGGTCTCTTGTACAGTGATATCTTTCATTGAGAGCAAGCCAAGCTTTATCAAAAGTGTCAGGAGTTAAAGTAAAACCCTTAATTATGCTAGCTGCATCTCCAGAAAGAGAACTTTGTAGATATTTAAACTTTTGAATATTATTTAAAGATGAATTGTTTATGATGGTATCTTCAAATGTGGTCTTAAAATCCAACCATTGATCAAGATCACCTTTAAAAGAGGGTAGAGAAAACTTAGGGAGATTAAATTTAGTTTCTTCCATATTAGTATTTATATTTTCTTTTAATTCTAAATAATTTAATAAGGTAGATTGTAATTCAGTTATATCTTTATTAGCTTCTTTATACATAGGTATATGTGATTCATGTTCATCAGAATCAACTAATGCAATCATATAATTTTCAATATTTTCTTTAATTTTGTTTATATTATCCAGTTGAACCTTTAAAAAACCTTTACTTTGAGTTTCTACATTTTCTGATTCGATCTTTAGGTCATCAAGCTTCGAAATTTCGAAATAGAATTTTTTTGATGTCACTTTACTTGTTTGTTTAAGCATCTTTATTTATTTCTTTAATCCAATAGGTCGTCAATAATTATCCGGCTTGAGGGACCAAAAACTATGTTGTAAATAAACGATAAAAATAACTTTGACTTGTGCTTAATTAATAGGTAGAAAATCTTTCTTTTGATAAATAATCTTTAAGATAAGGAGAATGCAAATTGATCGGCGCTGCAACGGATGGATTGTCGCATCGCTCCGGTAAATATTTTGTTTTTTCCTTTATATAACGTTAAAATTCTTTTGTTTTTCCTGAAAAGTTCATAGGATAAGGTTTGACTAGACGTATACTGAAATTAGTAAAAATTGCAAATGGATTTACTGATAAGTACATTAACTGCTAAATTAGATGAAATCTATGAATATTTTGACAATAAAGTCAAACAAAAAAAAAAAAAAAAAAACCAGAAAAACCTAACAAAAAATGATCTTTCCTTTTTATCTACAATGGTAAGGCAGACCAAGGAGGGCATTACGGCCTTGGGAGATATCAATAATCGGGACCTAGTGGATCGACTTTCTGTTCAAGTGTCTGATGTCCTTGATCAGAGATTGGACAAATTCAAGGGAGAACTCAGGACCTTGAGACCCTCCTTCTCAGAGGTTTTGGAATCCCAAACAGCGAGAGAAACTATGCATAACAAACAAAGTAGTGATAAAGAGTTTGTAATTATAGCGCAGCCTTTCAATGAAGGAAACATTACAGATGTACACCACGCTATTGCTAATAGGATCAGAGTGTTAAGAGAGGAAAATAAGAGGGTCCGAGTCAATAAAATTATAAACACAAGAAAATCAATTATTATAAAAACTTCGGATGAGAAAGAATCTAATTTTCTAAAAGAGGAATTATGCAAATCAACCCAACTTACAAATCTATGCAAAACATTCATTCTGACCAAAAGAGATCCTACTATAATGGTTAAAAACGTTAGTAAAATCACCGAGGTAAATTCCTTCGAAGAAACAATCTGTCAGATGAACGATGAACTAAAGGATATGAAAAGCGAAATTAAAGTGCTATTCTGCACTAAATCTAACACCTCTACCCACAACATAGTTTTACGAGTTTCTCCTGGAGTATATCAAACCATTAAGAAATTAAACAATAAAATCTACACTGACTGTGAACGATGCGTTGTTGTAGATCGGTTTCTGGTAAAACAATGCCAGAAATGTCTGAAATTTAACCCCACCCACAAAACGGCAGAATGCTCCAACACCCCAATATGCAGGACATGTGGAGTTCAGGGAGTTCATGATTTCTCAGGAATTCCCAAATGTTTCAACTGTTCCCAACATCCTAAGTATAGAAACAGGCCCTCATCACACAGAGCAAACTCGGAGGAATGTCCTATGTATAAAACACAAATAGACAGAATAATCGAGAGAACAAGTTATTTCCCAACTGAACAATCAAGTAACTAACTAGTACAAGTCGAACACAGGATCAAATGCAATTTCCTTCGATTAAGTGTGTGCAACCCTAAATATGAAAATAGCTCAACAAGTCATAGGCCAAATTCTAACGTGTGCCCAGTCTAAATTATGTCATTGGGTAAAGGAATTAAATGTTTACAACAAAATTTAAGAAAAAGTTTCATGGCATTGAGTGAGCTTCAAGCTGCAATAAAAGACAACCCACCAGATATCATCCTAATACAGGAAACCTATATAATTAATAGAGATGTAATTTTCGATTTAGAATCTCAAATAGTGCATTCAACGACAGATGAACAAATATACACTGCAACGATCTTTATGAATAAGTGTTTAAAATATAATAAAATCAATAAATTCACAAACTCCTTTTGTACAACCACCTCTATAAATTCAGCAAAATCAAATACTGTTATTGCAAACTTTTATATCCATCCTCATAGATTTAATGACACTCATCGAAAATTTATCAAGGAGCTTCTGGATACCTACAATCAACAACCTATTATACTATGTGGTGACTTCAATTCTAGACACCCAGTCTGGTTTGATCCGACGACAAACTCCAATGGTTTCAAATTCCACTCCATCATAGACGAACACAGCCTATTTATTCATAATCTTAAGATACCCACCTGCCGAAATTCAAGCATTATAGATCTTACGATTTCAAATAAAAAATCAATAAGTTTTGTACATAACTGGAAGACGACTATATTGACGCACATTTCAGATCACGTTGCAATAACCTTTGACATTTATCATAATTTTAACAGGCAAAGGACAGTTCAAAACTCAGCATGGAAATTTATAGTAAAAGATGCTGATTGGAAAACATTTACCGAAAAAATTTCAATACAAGATGTAGATAATATTATCACCAAGATAAACCACGCGTCAAACATCAAAGATATTGACAACATTGTAAAGACTCTCACACAAATAATTAAAGAGGCAGCTTATCTGTCACTAAATGTCAAGACAAGTGCGGAAATCATAAAACAAATACATACTGGTGGGATGGGAAGCTGGAGAATATGAAAAACCATTTCCACTATATTAGAAATTTATATCATCGGCATGGAGTGGTCTATGAAAAGACCTATAAATCAATGAGAAATAAATATTTAAATAAAATTAAAAAGGCAAAAAGAGCGAGTTGGAGAAATTTTATAGAAGAAAGGCATTCAACTAACGCATTTGGCAATGCTTATAGGATTTACAAGTCTTTGAGATCGAAAAATAGGAATCTAGGATTACCTCTAATAGATAATTCACCTGATCATTTAAAGATCGATAAAATAAAAAGTTTAATGAACGATCTATTTCAGGATGATATTGGAGGTTTATATGAAGATGATCATATTTTGATTAGAAATTATACGCCTAAATATAAAAATAAAAATAGTGTTTATATTGAATCCAAGGAAATAGAGGAAACAATTTTAAAAACTAATATTAAAAAAGCACCGGGCCCTGATTACATTAGTAACAATATGATCAGACAAGCTAAAATAAAAATAATCCCAATTCTGCATCAATCTACTTATATATTTGCCTTATTCTGTCTGTTTGTTTGTCTGTCTGAAGCTCACGGATGGGATTTTTCATAACCATCGGTGGTTCAGTGGTAGAATGCTCGCCTGCCACACGGGCGGCCCGGGTTCGATTCCCGGCCGATGCTTTTTTTTTTTTTTACAATCATTAAAACTCATTTATATATTATACAAGAATGACATCCACGGAGCCAATTTATAATTGTAACGAATAGTATTTGAATAAAAGCATTTAATCGGGTAAAACCCGGGCGTTGCCCGGGTCATTCGTATATAATAATTGTATAAACGAATGCAAGACAAAATCACCGCGAATGTTTCTTTTTTTAAGGCAATTTCTAAGGCAATTATCGTTATTTATCGTTAATTTTTGTTTCGATTTTATTGAAAAAAACGATATGGTGCCTTTAAAAAATGATCTTTATTACTATGCAGTTTTCTATTTAGTCAATATACCTAAGTTCATGTTGCAAATGTAATTATCTCTATCGATTTAGTAGGTGAAATGCAAAAAAAAAAAATCGACATGATGAAATCTTTATGAAAATTCACATTTTTATTTTTATATTTTCAAGACACACACAGTTTGGGGCGGGACGTTTCACAAGAGAGACATCCACGGCGCCAATTTATAATTGTAACGAATAGTATTTTAATTAAAACATTTTAAAAACACACAGTTTGGAGCGGGACGTTTCACAAGAGTGACATCCATGGCGCCAATTTATAATTGTAACGAATAGTATTTGAATTAAAACGTTTTTAAAATATATACGCACTCGGGTAAAACCCGGGCGTTGCCCGGGCCATTCGTCTAGTTATTCAATAAATGTATAGAAATGGGATACTATCCGGATGAATGGAAAAAATCATTCTTAAAAATAATTCCAAAACCAGGCAAAACGAATTATGAAGTAAATAAAAGTTATAGACCTATATCATTGACATCTAATCTCTCTAAAACATTTGAGAATATAATAAAAAATAAATTAAGTAACTATTATTTAGAAAATAATCTAATGAGCTCAAGGCAGCACGGCTTTATGAAATCTAGATCAACTATTACAGGAATGGAAAAAATTATAGAAACTATATTGAAACATAAACAAAAAGAAGTGACTTCCTTGATAGCTATAGATATAGCTGGTGCATTCGACAATGCATGGTGGCCTGCGATTATAAAACGAATGGATAATGATAATGTTCCCTCAGATTTAATACGGATCATAAAATCTTATTTGAATAATGAATGGGAGGTGAAATTTACATACGAATCAGAAACTTTTTATAAGAAACTAACTAAAGGATGTCCACAGGGTGGACCTTTATCACCACTTCTATGGAATATTTTGCTAAATGATTTGTTGATAAATTTTGAATCAATGAATGCAGATATTATATGTTATGCAGACGACGTTACAATAATTTGCTGGGATAAGACTATCGAAGGACTAAAAACCGCAAGTGAATACATCTTAAATTATGTGATCCAATGGTGTAATAGAAATAAATTAACGATCAGTACAGAGAAAACTAATTTGCTATACCTGCATAACAGAGAAAAAATACCTATTGAGGTTAATAAGAATATAATTAGGCCGGTCAAGCAAGTAAAAATTCTGGGAATGAAATTTTCAAATCACAAATGGAAAAATAAAGTTAACTTTACTCCGCATGTAAATGATATTCTGTGTAAGGCAGGGCGTATGAAAAATCTATTATGTTCACTAAGCGGCAATATGTGGGGTTTAGATACTCAAAAAAGGTTAACATTATATAAAACAATAATAAGGCCTGTACTTACATACGGATCAGAAATTTGGTTTAAATATTTAAACAATCGTTCTAAACAAAAACTGAATTCCATGCAGTACCAGATCATTTTATGGGCAGTCAGAGCATATAAAACTACTTCATCAAACTGTGTGCATAGTCTGGCAAAAATTCCACTCCTAACAGACTATATAGAATCTAGAATAATCAAATATGATCTAGCTCATCTGTCCACTGAAGATCTAATTGCTTACGAACCCCATGCTCCAAGTATAGTCAAATCATTCTTACACGCAAAAATGAAAGAAATTTTTGATAATACTAATGAAATTTTCAGAAGCTTTTTCGTGTCTGGAATCCCAAGATTTTTCCGACCAAATTTTTATAATATCCAATTCATTACAGATCATGGTAATTTTGGGAAATTTTTGTCAACTAACGGCGCGGTGAAGGAACCGGGATGCTTCTGCGGAGGTGAAATTCAGGACTCGAAACATCTACTAATGAATTGCCCAATTTTACGGGTTTATAAGGAAAACAAGTTTGGTCGTATTGGACAGCTTGATGAATTTGTAGACGATAAAGAGAGGTGTAAAAGTTTTGATCAATTTTGGAAATTTATTTACAACTTTCTTTTGAAATGGAAAAGGGAGAGGGAAACTTAGAAGGAAAAGATTGCGATGCTTGCTTTGTTGTTTTGCTTTGTTGTTTGTTTTTCTCTTCGGACAATTTTTTTTTTTTGGTTAATTATGTAAAATAATGAATTGAACAGGATTGTATATAGCCGATTTGTTGTGATGTAGAGAGAGGTATCGACGCAAATGTCCCTGAGTTTGGGACATCGCGTTTCATGATGTTAATAAATAAATAAATAAAGATAAATAAATTGGCGATAATAAAACTTATAGATAAAAAAATTGTTGGTAATCAAACTTATAGATAAAAAAACTTGTTGGTATTCAAACTTTTAGATAAAAAAACATAGATGTAATAAAACTTATCGGTAAATAAAAACACTATTTATAAACATTTTGGTAGAAAAACTTGCTTAAATATATGTTCAAAATAGTGTACTTAACTTGGATTATTTAAGATTGACATTGGATTAAATTTAGGTACTTTAATTAAAACATAAGGATTGAATATGAAAATGTTTGACGCGCGCTTAAATGGCGTCGCTTCTTCTTGTGTGTGTGTGTGTGTGATAAAAGTTCTTTCTGCTTTTTTATTCCGCCGCGCATGCGCACCACCTCTGATTCTTTGTCATCAACTCCGGAGGCGTACCGCTTCTCACCGGCGGTGGCGCCGCCAGGGGAGCTTAGCTAGATTTGGTCAATCTAACCTCTCCAATATATCTATCCTTTAAAAAAATCAAACTATAAAAAAAAATAACCCATAAAGCCCTATTAAAAATTTCCTTTAAGATACAAAATTTTTACTCACTCGTTGGCCTAGGTTGAACTTTCCAATTTTCCAAAATTCTTAATTGTTGCTGTTACTTTTTTAAAAAAGTTTTATTTGTTAATCTTAGGCCAACATAAAATATTTACAGAAAAAAAAAAGGAATGCAGAAGAAAGATAAAATTGGATGGTGAACCTAGTGTTGATTATATTTCTGCCCTGATGGTGCAATTGGTCATTCTTCTGGTCATTAGAGGTTCTCCACAGGATGTAGGATGAATCGCCAGGTTACTGGACACTCCTTCAAGTCCCAGGATATGTCCTTCAGGCCACAGGATAAATCAGCATGATGTGCCCTAGTGGTCTGCGGGATCTAAACAAAGGGTATCCTGCACATCCAACATCCCGCCGAGAACCTTGTTTCAACAGATTCACTCTTTTATAACATAGTTTCTCTCATCAGTGTGTATAATTTTGATTTCTTTAATTTATAAGGTAAATTTGAAATCTAGCGGGACAAAGCCTCTTACACATTCAGCTAGCCTACATGCTAGGGATAACTTGAAATAAGAATTGATGGTCTTCTTTCTCAATTTTTAGGTAAGAAGAGAAGACCATGCCCACAGCACCCATTCTTTGCCTCGCAAGAGGGAAAACTGAAGTATAAATACACTGTTTGATAAATGAGCCAGGTCACACAATGAAGGAACATTGAAAAAATGCAATGACACAATACCAAGTAACCAGGTGTTTTCCATAGTTTCGACGCTCTGCGTTACTAGATAAGGGAGTACAATGGGGTGCCGTACATCTGGCTTATTAGGCAAAGGAACATGCTGCCTATATATTTAGCTAGGTAAGCTATAGATTAACTAAGCGCTTAAGAGAATTTGACAGTCCGGACTGTTCACTTGAAGTTCACCAAGGTTGTCAAAGGTGTATCAATAAAGAACTAGCTCTGCCATATGTTTTATTGAAGAAAATTCAAGTCTAAGAAAAGTATAATGGCAAGGATGGTATTATTTTATGACAAGATTATATTTTTCCATGTTGGGATAGTTTCTAGTAGTAAGTACTTATGTGGAATCATCAACAAAACAGCTTAGAATGATTGGAACCATAGTAGATTAGTAAGTTAAGAAATAATTAAAATCTAAAACACGTTATTTAGATTGAGTATATCAGTCTTATTAGATCCCCATGTAATGGGATGATGAGCTTGTTGCACTCAGTTCACTAGTGTAACATACTTAATTTTCTTCAAATACAAAAATCTACAGTGGAGGTCAAAAATAATTATTTTTTAATTGAAAAAGGGAGTTTTCTTTTATGTGTGTGGCCTTTAGAGGTATCAGGTAATTTAAGATGACAACCCCCCCCCCCCCCCCCCAGTATTAAAGAACTTATTTTGAAAGAGTTTCGCTTCAATATTTTAATCAAAATTGGTTCAATTAATTTTACAAAAATGAGTTGTGCATATGATTTAGTGTCAAGGTTACTGATTCTGAGTTACTCAAGTAAATGTTAGTAATGAAGCACACTAGATTTGTAATTTGGTCTTTGCCTCCCTGATACCTTTGTGTATTTCAGGACTATTTTTGGTTGTGTTATTATGAAAAATAGGATATAAATTTTGGATAATTAGTATTATTTGAAAAGGAAATTGAATTTTATTGAATGATATGCATGCATATTTGTATACTCTAAAATTTTGAAATTTTGGGATATACAGTAAAACCCCGCTAATACGAACCCTGGATATAACGAACCTTCCCTTCCCTTATAACGAACCTAAGGCAATTCCCAATTCCATTCCATTGAAAATACCATCGTTATAACGAACTTTGCGATTTTTAAAATAATAAACTACCCCTATAACGAACCTATTTTCGGTCCCAAAATAAAAAAAACCTATTCAAAATACTATGCTTATAAAGAACTTAGAATTGTAATC